TACTTTATGGATATGACAATGATCTAGAAACGAACTCTCTGTTGTGAATATTATTAACACTCAGATAATAAATGAAGTTTTGTGTAGAGATAAGTAAACCGATAATCAGTCTTAGAAAATTAATAAACTTTCTCAAAACCACTAAACTTCATCAGATTTCAGGAATTGTGTTGATCAGTCAATAAATGGCTTTGAAACTATCCGGTGATTTTTTTGAAATTATTTGGCTTATTCATATGCTACAGTTTAGACTGTTTATCCACCACCTCCTAGTAACTATCCAATTACCACCTTCTATAATTAATGTATTTCAGCACAAATCACTCGAATGACCTTCTCTCCATGAAGCCAATCAGAATGATGCATATTGTCAGCTGACTAACTGTTTGAAAGTGAGCTTTTAGCAGTGCAACATGCTGATTGGTGGTTATTTAGTGAATTCGATTGAACACAGTTGGTGTTGTTAATTGGCACTAGGAAAGGGATTTGATTTGGTTGAGTTGCCCTGGTGATTTGTAATTCTGTAAGTCTGAGGAATATTTCGTTGTTCTGCACACTAGACATTTAATTCCTTGACTATTTTTATATGAGCGTATGTGTGTTAATTGCTTACTCTATTGATTATGTGTCTGTAGTTTATTTTTGTCTGACTATGAGTATTGTAAAATACTTAATCAAATCGAGTTCTGTCACTCACCTACTCCTCTCCACTTCACTTTCCCACTTCTTATTCTGAATGTCTGTCTGGACTAACAGGTACTTGAAATAAACTCCTCTAATGTAACCCACCGCCATCACATGAACAGGGTTAGCCTAGGTAACCCTCATAGTTAAATGTCAGATTTATGTTCATCAACGGGGCACATTAGATATACATTAAGTTTCTATTTTACTAGTGATATGTCCTACTTCTTATGTGATGTCTTGTAGAGATATTAGTTGCTCTCTCAAATGAAACCCTGTCACATTAATAAAAGTAGTAAAAGATTTTCCGTTGGAACTCATTACATTCAGTTTATTAACTTTAGAAATATGGCGATAATCATAAATAGTGTTGAGTGAATCAGTGTGCAGTTACTGAGTAATCTTTTTGAAGCTAAACTATGATTTATGAACAAACCGATCAGATTTAGGATAATTGGTCTTGAATTTTAGAGTGAAATTCATTCATCTATTTGGACAATGAACGTTAGGGTTAGGTTAGCTAATGTTAGTTCGTGCGTGACCCCCTCACCCACATACATCTAATTCTTAACCCTAACCATCAACTAGAAATCATGATCCTTATTCCTCACACATGTTCATAACTCTCATTTACCCCCAGTAAGTAGGTTAACATTCTGAAGTCGTTGATCATCCTTTTTAACATGGGAACTATACTTTTAGGACAAAAAAAGTAGATATTCACAGTGTATAAACAATCCCAATCTCTCTCGTTTGGGGCGATATTGGGGAATTTCCTCAGGACTGAGGAAATTTCGGGGTTTTGGTGCTATTTCTCCAAAGTTTACTATAGAGGCTTCCCCCAGAATTGGGAGTTCGGGATACGTTGCTTCGGTGGAATTATATGCATCATTCTCAATCATTTCAAATATTGACGTGTTATTCTTTAAATTACTGAATTCACACATCCATCAGTTTGTCCAATGGGTCTGATGTAATTTGTAGAAGATTTTTATTAACACATTGTTGATATATAGAGGGCTACAATATCAAGGCATCCATAGGAGAGACTCATTCAATCCAATTCTGAATAGAAGCAATACAGATCATTCTAAAACGCTTAGCAGCGGTGATCGATAACAGATCCGTTCTGTTTTACAGTTCTTCTCTCTATTCAAACCAATTTAATGTTGTGATATGTATCATTTTGTTTATCTTTTCTTCTTTTCGAGGTGTTTACAATGATATCAACCAAAGAAATCAATAAACATGATGCTCAACGAGAGTGTAACCAACAATTTGAGATTAATACAAATAATAATTCAATGGTAAGATTTTGTTTACAGTGTCATATTATCATATTTCTGATTATGTTTTTTATGTGACATTGACTTAATTAACTGAAGACAATGTTCTGGAAAGAGGATAGTTCTTTTGAAGTTTCCATATTATGAATATCTTTCTATAAACTTCATCTACATATCCTATTCATCTCTACATTACCACAACGTATATGTTTTTTCCGATTTAACTCACCATTCTATCTCCGCACATGTATGCAGCGAATTCCATACTCACCACACATGGATTATAACTTAATGAAGTACCAGTGCATTTGGGGGGTCGTCTAATTCTGCTGGCGTTGGTGTCGCACTACGAGCCAAAGTTGAGGCAGCACTAATCGACTAGATCCACATTAACAGCCGATTATGTGCTGTTAGATAAGAAAACTCCATCGAAATGAGAAGAAATCGGTGTGAGAAACAATGTCTTACGGCTTATACCAATCTGGGCCATCTTTGATGCCTTCGTGATGTTAGTCTAAATGTGAAAGTTAAGATTTATGATGCGTCGGAGACATGTAGTGTTTGCTCCATGTATGTGAAACCTCTCCTCTCTGAGCTGAAGATGTTAAACGACTCTGTGTTTAATCATTGTTGTTTCCGACGGACTTCTTACATTCAGTGGCAGTACCATGACTGTAATGCAAAAGTCCGGCAACAGGTGTTCGGGTGCAGCGACAAAAATTCGATTGGAACACCAAATATGGTGACTTGGGCATATCCTTTGAATGTCGTCCCAGTCATTTTGAAATCGTGCATTATTTTGAGACGCGGGACTAATTGAAGAAAGTAGAGAGGTGTTTAGTGCATGAGATCGTGACGCAGTATGAACAGAACTGGAATTTGCTGGCTCTTCATGATTCCATGATTGAAGTCCTAATGATAGTGCAACAGTAGTTTTGGAGGTTATCAGACGTGGCTCAAAATACAAGCCAGTGGCAATCCTGCTGGTGTTGGTTCCTTCTTGCACCAATGTTTATGCGTTTATATTAGTAAACCAATATTCGTAGCAAACCTAAATTAGAATGTCAGAGTGGATCATGATAAACAGCGTTGGTAGATATGAGATCTAAAATTCACAAATTAACCAATTTAAGTTTATTTAGTGTTATAATCGGATATCTTGTGTTGTATTCATAAGTGCACCATCTAAACACAAAGGCTCATTACATCCAGTTAGGGGTCAGACTATGTTATTTCGTCGAGATAATTAATTCCAAACATGCAGCTTGTTCAATTTAATTTTTTTGAATAATTTTTTCTGATTAGTGTTTTCTGTAGCGAGTTGGTTTTCCACGGGATAGGGTCGCTAACCCCATGCCCAACCCTCCTCCTTTATCCGGTCTCGGGACCGGCAGTAGCCCACAGAGGGACTCCAGGCGGAGTTTCTTGTTCAATTTACTAGATGTTTATTAAATTTCATGAAGAACAGATTTGTTGATTTCAAACAATCAGTCCATTTGATAAATTTTGATAATGGAATGAGAAGACCAAGTTTATCAGAACTATGTGATGATATATTAGCTCAATACATTTCGAACAATCGGATCATACATGTTATTACTAGTTAAGACATTTTTCTATGAAACATAAAAGGTCAACTAGACAGGGTAAACGTACAAATAAATTGCAATGATCAATTTAGATTACAGGATAGACAGACATCATCGTTCATTGTGAAAAACTGGATTGACACTGATCATAATGTTGACATGAAATCAGCATTTGTAGTGTTATACAAAAGCTTTCAAGGACCAATATTAAGGTTTATTGAAGCCTTGGTTATACGGAAATTGAAACCACCTTTATGTTGTTCAAGAACAATTTGTCCTTACCATTAACCTACCCTGGTAATACTGATTTATTATCCAGAGTGATGTACTTTATTATCTTATTTTACTTTGTTACCGTTTACCTTTAGTCTGTCTAGTTGACCTTTTAGTTTTCATGTATAAATGCTCTTACCCAGTATATTATGTGTGATCAGATTGTTCGAAATGTATTGTGCAGATATATCACACATAATTCGGATAAACTTCGTCTTCTTATTGGATTATCGAGATTTGTAACTGCTATATAAGTATATAAATATTTGGACGGAGAGAAATCATTTGAGAAATATACTTGTACTGAATGGTTTAGTCGTGGAGCTTACATCCTTCTTCTGAACGACATCATCAAGCACAAACTTCACATGAACAATAAAAGCTCCACGATCAAATCATCTAGCTCAGAAATTAAAACTCCATGAAAATCATCTACCTGCGCTACAAATCTTCTCTACCATCTCAAAATCATTTGAGTGTAGTACGCTTCTCGTTGTTCGAAAATGAGCGAATTTCGCTAAGAGACAGGCTTCCACTCGAGAACAACTGTATTTTCTCCACGAGTGTCTTTGCCAGCATGTTCTGCCATTAAGTGTGAGATACAGACCTCTAATAAACTGCCCAATGGGATGGAGAATAGCTGAGCAAAGTGGAAGAAAAATGGTACAGCTAATGATAACTGATGCACATTACAGGATCCACTAATACCAACATATCATAGAGGACCAAAAAGCAAGCTATAAAAGATACTCACGTCAGAACATTTGGAAATATTGACAACAGCCATCAAGGTACCATGCAAACGACGCAGAGAACAAAGAAGAAACTTATCAAGATCTCAGAACCGCCCACTAGAGTTATCACTAAAAAATGCGGGAATAAGTGAAGAAACACAACAGAAAACAAGATAAACTATGGTATCAAACTTCTACCTGAAGTTTGTGTTGATGATGTCGTTCAGAAGAACAATGAAAATTTCATGACCAAACCATTCAGTTCAAAGAATAAAACTGCATCAAAATCACCTATCTGAGCTACAAATCTTCTCCACTCTCTCAATATACTTGTCCATTTGATTGAATAAGTACTTTTTCATTCTCATTTCAGTTTCACTCAATTTCACATGTACACTCTATACTCATTATTTATGATCTCTATTGAATTACAGTTGAATGGTTTCATGCATAGTAAACAATACAATATGATGAAACATAAACCAAATGAAAATGCATTACATCAAATTGAAACTATTCCATCATTGATAGATGATATCACTAATAGATTAGAACAATTCGAACTCATTCCATCTTATTTTTGTCTTGATTATGAAGATGAAATTTATTATAGTGAAATTGATTACAAACTAGATAGTTGATCACGACGATGATGATGGTGATGATGATGATGACGACGACGACGACGATGATGATGATGGTGATGATGATGATGACGACGACGATGATGATGATGATGGTGATGATGTAATAGATGAATAAAAACCAAAAAACAACTATTATTGATTTCTTTTCCTGTAAATTGTTTAATAAAATTATCCTCATTATTTGTTCTTGGTGTTGTTTTACTTGTATCTTCTTCCCATTGATGTTTAGAACTACAATTGATCAGTTTCATGTTGGCATATGTGCATCCTGTACGGACGACCTCAATAGTACCTTAAGGCACAAGTATTATAACACAAAGATGGATTGCGGCTAGTAGTGGAATCCAGGACGCACGAGACTTCGTCCTATTTGTGACTCGTCAGCCGGATGTACATCTCGTTATCCACTTAGCTACTGGAGTTTGAACCGAGCGCTACTGGGTTCGAGTCCTAGAATGAATATCCAGCCGACGAGTCCCAAATAGAACGAAACGTGTGTCCTGGATTCCACTGCTTGCTACTATCCATCTTTGCTTAAAAAGCTTGTGATTATTCGTTCTTGTTTTCATGATATTTATAGGAATTTATTTAAAATTTTTAGTACGAAGCAAATGAATATGGATAATGTGATAGAGTATTTATTGTACCTTCTGTCAAACTTTTGCGTATAAATAACACTTTAATGGAGAAAGTTTAATCAGCGATATGATCTAATGTTGGCTGCTGTTCAATGATTCACTAGTGAATATAAGTAACGTTGTAAGAATATAGTTTCAGTCCTGTTATAACTGAGGGTGCACACTAATTGAAACTCGTCTGCAGTATATCTTCAAATTACTATTTTCTTTGTTTCACATAGCACTTCAGTTTTAATAATTATTCAAAATAACCATGAACATAAATGGCCGCGTTCACTGAAATCTCATCACTATGTAGGGCCAGTGAAATGTTAGTGAGCCAAATCATCTGGCAGTTGGGTGACTGAATGTCGAACAGATCATCGATCTGTGTCAAAGTCAACGACAACCAACGCGAATCAGTAAATTGTATGCAATGGACAGGACCATGAGGTGGTGGTCTCATTATCTTCTCTGTACTCATTCTTACTGATATATTTCGGATCTGAAGTACGCTGTATGAAACTGTATTGTGTTATCAAACAAACAAATAGTCTTAGTCCAGTCTCTGACCAAGAGTTCTAACGTTTTGAATCTACTGTTCTCAATAACTGCAATCAGTATATTAGCACAAAAGTAGTAGGTAAAAGTTTTCTAACGAAAGAACATAAAAATCAATTAAAACTACTTAGAAACAATAAAGACCTAATTATAAGACGTTCAGATAAAGGTGCGGGTTTAGGGCTGCTAGATCGCAAGATTTATGTTGAAAAAATGACAATGTTATTATCAGACGGCACCAAATTCTCAAAACCAATCAATGAGAAAAGCAAGACAGAAATTATAGAAAAGTAACTGATTGAAGTTCTTAAGAGAATGAAAAATGATCAGTCAATCGACGAGTATGTCTTCGAGTGTATAAAACCAACAGGATCAATAATACCGCGATGATATGATCTGCTGAAAGTACACAAACCTGACCTATCTCTCAGACCAATTCTTGATATGTCCAGATCCCTTTATCTTTTTATAGAAAAGTGGCTGGCAAATTTCCTAGAACCCGTTAGAAAACTCATTTGTCGATATTCGTTACATGATTATCTTGAATTTATCGAGCACATAAAAGAAGTGAATGTAAGTGACAAAATCATACTATCTCTGAATGTCGAATCATTACTCACTAATGTCTCACTCATAGAGATCATTAGTTTTATCTGCAAGTACATAAATAATAATGAGACTAACATCAGAATACCGAAAACGTATTTAAAGGAACTACTACTACATTGCACTTGCAATGTACAATTTACATTCAACGACGTAATTCATAGACAGAAGGATGGCATAACAATGGGATTCTCTCTTGGTCCATTGTTTCATGGTCAGTTTAGAAAACAATCAACTTGAAACGATTATAGGAAACTTCCACTTGTATAAAAGGTACGTAGATGACATCTTTATCATTTGTGACAACAAATATGACTTGTGTCATCTTCTAAAGACATTTAATAATTGTCACCCAGCAAAGAAATCCATACTTGAATTTGAAAACAAACAAAATATTCACTTTCTTGATATGAAAGTGACAAGAAAACAAGATGGAACTCTAAGAGAATCTATCTACAGGAAACCCATGTGGAATGGTCAACTATCAAGCTTCCACAACTGGGTCCCCATTAGTCGTAAAAGAAACTTAATAATATCACTAGCTACAAAAATATGAAAAATTTGTAGTTCCGAGGTGATAGATGAAGAACTGGACCTCTTGAAGGAGATACTTATCAGAAACGGATATCTTTCCGTATTCATTTATAAAACATAAAACCGAAACCGCCTAAAACACAAATAATTTCAGCAGAAAAGAAAACATTATACATGAACATCGATATTTATGGGTGACAGGGCCACATACATCTTAAACAGGCGAATTTCTTATTCGTTAAAATGAACATTCTTCGCAGCAGCGTTGAGAATAGTATTCTCCAGCCGATCATTGCCGAACCAATAACCATACATCTGGAAATACCGGAATTGTGTGTGCAAAAGAAATTGGTACAACCTCTTGTTCTACCATGGTCTCAATGTCTTAGAATTTTTCTTTATTCTTCCTTCCTTCATACTCTCCATCCTTTACAGCCATCTGCTTCATCTTTTATCTTCCCCCTTAAATCTTCTACCCTCAACTGGTTTATTTCTGTTTCTACAATCTTCCTCATTACATTTTATCTTATCATGCTAAGCTATCCTTTCCCAAGTATAATTTCCCTATCTTTTTTAATACCTATGTTTATTTAACCTCATTGTTACCGTGTATAACAGAAGTTTCTTATCATTATTATTATAACCCTGAGAAAAAACCATAAGTATATATATATATTATGGCTAGCAGTGGAATCCAGTTTGGCGCGCGTTTCGTCCTATTCGTGACTCGTCAGCTGGGTGTACCTGCATCTCAGACTCGTTGATATTCACTCAGGGACTCGTGCATCCTGGATTCCACAGCTGGCCACTATCCATCTTTGCTTATAATCCTTGTAAGTTAAGGCTATATCAAGGCAATACGCACAGTATGCCCATATGCCAATGAGAGACTGATCAACTACATTTCTAAACATTAATCGGAAGATTCAAACAAACCATACCGCGTATATATATTTGCGATTGTACACCTTTGAAAATAAATTCGTTGAAAAGAGAATTCTTCGCTGAACTAATCTTTGTTATTTAATAACAAATTTGAACATAACATATAACATTAATTTCAATGGTTGAGACCATGAGTCTGAAGATGCCACAGGTGTTTGGAGTTTGACAACGCTTTAACCGGTAACACCTTCTAATATGAATCGTAACAACCAAGTGAAGTCAAAAGACAGAAGCCCGGAGGTTCGAAGATATATTCGATAGGCTATCAATAAATCGAGGATCGTCTGATCTGACCTGGCTAGCGATTGCGTTCCCACTCGTGACCTTGTGCGGATGCATGACCGAGTGCCTTCAGTCAGGTGAGTCCATTCAAACTAATGTGATTAGTATCCAATGTCGAAAACTTACAGAGCTATTTATTTTGGGGATTCATTTACCGCTACAAGTCAATTGAAGCTAGACCGCCATGAAAAACTTGGAAGCACTGGACAGCCGTTTCGTGCTGGTGTGGGTCGCCTCAGCGGTACTCATCCATGATCCATGGTGGTCTAGTTTTAATTGACTCATGATCTCAACCATTGGAATTAACTATAATATCCAGAAAAACCTTTCTGATATAATATTTCATTGTGCAGTAAACGTATCAGTTATTCACTACACACGCTACATATTGATTGTCTGTCTCTATATATCTGTAATGTAATTTTGATTGATTTGCAATTCTGTTGAATCTCAGCTGTTCAGCATTCTGATTTTCAATTTCTTCATCTATCTGAAGTTCAGAATTTTCTATAGAATTAAGATTAATTAGAGAATCATCAAAATTGAAATAGAAATCACTTACTTCATTAATCTTCATTTGGTCTATCTGTTTTCTGTGAACTAAATGGTTATACAAATCAAGAATCTTTACTATCCGAATATCCATTCACTGAATTATTATCCCCATAGATGGTTGGTAGTTATTTCTTTGGTAAAACTGCACTTCTGATGATGTTTTGTTCATTAAATGAGTTTAAAGTATGAGAGATTTATAAAGATTAGCTGGACTTTTGGGAATTCTTGAATGTTCTGCATTAAGATAATGAAGCGAGAAACTGTCAATGTAGTTTTATATCTCGGATAGATTGCATGGACTTATTAATGTTCGAATGAAATTTTCTGCTAAACTACCAGACTAAGGACTTCATGAAGCTGTAAATAGATGACGCCATCTAATATCGTCAAGATAGTTGATAAAATCTTTTTCAGTGAAATGAATATCCCTTCATGATTAAATATGTTCCTCATTGCTCAATGAGTAAAGTTTCCGCTAGGACTGTTCATCACTACCGCTTCTGACCATTTCGAATTTAAGTTAATAATAACTAAAGTATGATACGAATATAAAAAAATGAGTCACAGTAATTCTCATGAATACGTTGTCACTATTCATAAGATTCAGGTCAAGGATTCCAAGTAGACCTGCTGTATGATAATTTATACAAAACAAGCAGTACAGTTTTTCAATTTCCGAATTATATCAGCATTAATGTTAGAACATCAATTAGTCTGTCGAATAAGTGATCTTATTTTCTCTGCTCGTAGATGGGCTAATTGAAGGTCTAATACTAAAGATCTACGTGTAAGGGAAATGATTAGTTTACCATTAAAACACAAAAATCCTACAGGATGTAGTGATCTTTCTTCTCTCTTTTTATAAAATTCAGGAGGCTTACACTTAAAATGAAC